CAAAGTCGTGAAGTGCGAAATCGGACTCTGCATTTCCGGATTTTTTTGAGAATTCCACACGAAGGCAACATTCCGGCAGATGACGCAGGTGGGAAGCCAGACACTCCATGCAGATGGTGGCCAAAAATTATGTAAGTAGGACATTATTTTCTACTTTAAAATTTAATTTTATATAACGTTGCCACGCGCGGACTCTGCGACACCATATGGCGTCATTCGTACCGCTGACTTTATTTTAACGACGACATACGTTGTCTTTAGTCGTTTAAAGGTTAAGTGGATGCTGTGAAATCAGGAATACAGGAGTTAACTAACACCTTCAGTGCAAAGGTCCAAATAGAAGGTCACATTTTTAGGGTCAGTAACGCTATGCAAATGTTGCAACACAAACTAGACTTACTAATTGACAGTGTAGGAAACGCACAAAGGGGGGTGTTGCAACCTCAGATTATCTCGCCATACTCTCTGATGGAAGCATTAATGCAAAGTGCATCTGCACTCCCAAGAGACGTAACGTTCCCTTTCCCATTGAGCAAGGACTCAGCTTATTTAGCATTAAGAGTGTGTAATTTATAAGTACAGCAATACCTCACATAGTCTGGGTAATCGGTTCTGCCAATATCCTGGACTGTTTGAAACCGGACTAATCGAGGAACTAAATACATACAAAGAATGATAATTGGTTCCAAAAAATGTCTACGTTTTTCAATAAATAAAACGCGGCTAATGAATTCAAATGTCTTTATTAGAAATAATTTTAAAAAATTCATGTTTTTCACAATTCATTTATTCTCTAAAAATTTCAATATTGATGTCTGCACGGTACATACATATACAAGGGGAACCCCAGAAAAAACTGAAATATGTATTGCATTGCATAACTTTAAACCAACATAAAAATAAACCACACAAAAAGAGACTTGACTGTATAAAGTGAAAAACCCGATCATTTTTGTATTAAAAATAATTTTGAGTACTAATTTTTTAGAATTTATTTTTACTTTGCTCAATTAAAATTTAGTTTGTTTTGAAATTTTCAAAAGGGACTATAGTGAATCTGGACTGATCGAAGCCAGACTATGAGAGGTATTGGTGTATATGTAAGGAATGGAGTCTTAGTGTATGTGATCCACATACCGTTGGTGAACAGGGGTCAATTTGATATATATATACTCCTTCCTATTCCAAAGTCCCAGGATCAAACAAAGTTTTTGTACTTAGATACTAGAAACTCGTTTTTATGGATTGATAAAGATACTAGAAATTCATTTTTATGGATTGATAAAGTAAGAGAATATTATTTCATGACAGACAAGTATTGGTTACATACATTTAAAGGGATAAATATAAAAGTATACGTGTGTAAGCAGGATCAACCCCTCCTATCTTCTCAAGTACATGAGAACTGTATGGTTAAGCTATTGCAGTCTGGATAAAGTATTCTCCCAAGTTGCGAGAAGCGCATAGTAGAACTTCCTGATTCAGTATGGACACAAGTGGAAAATACTGAAGGTGGCACTAACTGGGATGGGTAAACTAAGAATGAATACTAATTGCAGAGATTACAGAAAATCTGCTCTGCTACAAACACACTGTGTCATCACTGTAAACAGTTTGATGCAAGGAAAGAACATGATGTCCGGAGTGAATCTGGAGTTGTGAGGAATTAGGCATGAAGATCAATCAGTTCCAAACATCTGAATACAAATTCTAAACACATTCTGTTTTCACTGTAAACAGTTCGATGCAAGTAAAGGACTTGATGTCCGGAGTGAATCTGGAGTATGAGTGTTGTGAAGAATTAGGCATTAAGATCAATCTTAGTTCCATACATTTGAATACAAATTCTAAACACACTGTATCACATTTGGATGATTTAAATATTGCAAGCCATAAGATTTCTGAAGTTGAGCGCATCATCAGGGAACAAGAACGGAAAATGTTACACACAACTTCCCATAATTCTTATTCTGTATTGGTGTATGTTTGCTTCTTTTCAATTGGAATGTATGCAATATACAAATTGTATAACTGTTTGAAAGGAAAGGTATTTTGCATAAAGGCCATAACAGACAAAAAATACATGAGGTAACATAGTGAATACTAAAACACATACAAGCAAAGGGAGCTTAGCTGTGTCACAAGAAGACATGCCATTCATTCATCAGTAATCTGTCATGACGACAGGTCCACAGTCTCTTCCAAAACAGTTCCTCCACTTGATGAGATCTACAGCTTTCTCCTTCAAATGAAAATATCCTCTTCTGTCCCCAAGGTCATCCAGCATCTTCTTACGTCTTCTTCCTCGTCTTCTGGTCACTTCTATCCGCCCCTCTATCTTTCCTTCAATAACTTCTTTTAGAAGGCAGTTTCTGCGTAAAACATGACCAATCCAATTAGCCTTCCGTTTTCTTATTTCGTGCAGGATATTCCTCTGCTCACTGACTCTAATTAACACTTCTCCATTTCTCACATAATCTGTCCAACTGATCTTCTCCATCCTTCTCCAACACCATGTTTTGAAACTTTCCAGATGTTTCTGATCTACTGCCCTAAGTGTCCATGTTTCAGTCCCATACAGAGCTATGCTCCAAATGTAGCATTTGACTAGTTTCTTTCTCAAATTCAAGTCCAATTTGCTGGTAAAAAGATTCTTCTTCTTGATAAATGCAGCTTTTGCCATGGCAATCCTGGATTTAATTTCACTAGTACACCTTCCATCATCTGTTAAGAAGCTACCCAAATATTTAAAACATTTCGCATTCTCCAGT